CCCATGTTGGGCACAGAGATTACTTAAAAAAAAAAAACAAAAAACCCACCAAACTGTCTTTGTGAAGGTGACCAGGGCCCAGAAGGGGTTTGTGATCTGGCCCCCTAAAGAATTGTGGGTGCCATGGCTGGTGGCTGGAGGTTGGTCTCCCATTCTGGCCCTGTTGACCTGCTCCCGTCTTCTGTTCCCAACAGGTGTGTCCAGTATCATGGCCTCCTCCCAGTAACTCAGCAGGCGTTGAATAAAGAGTTGTTGACTTACTCCTGTTTCCCGCTCATTGGCTTCCTGCCTCTGCCCCTCGCCCACCAGAGGGAGCCCGGGAGCAGGCCTCTGCCTACACTGTGCGGGAGCCACGTCCCTTCTGCCTAGGGCCTCCCTCCTCCTCCTCCCTCCCCTGTCCCACCCCAGCAACCGACCTTCCACCCCCACCTTCGTGACCTGCCAGGTCACCAGTAGGGAGCCGGCAGCCATGAGTCAGCAAGGAGGGGGATGTGAATGAATAGGATGTAGAGAGTCCTGCCCTGCAGCTGGGTGTGGCCCGGGCTCTTCGGCCTTCTCGAACACCTAGGTGAACAGGAGTGGGTTCCTGGTGAGGGGAGGCACCACATTTGCCTTTTGGCCCCACAGAGGAGGAGTGAATGAGGGAGGATTCAGTCCGCCTCCTATCCTGGCCCCTGCTCAGCCCATCGCTGTGTGTCCTTGGCGACTCTGCCTCTGTTCCTCAGTTTCCTCATCGGTGAAAGGGGGAGAATGACCCACCCTTTTCATTTGTGGAGGATTCCATGAGCTCTTGCCAGTAAAGGTCTCATCAGGGCCTAACCTCTTCCTGGCTCTTAGAAAACGGGGGTCATTAATTTCAGACTCAAAATTGTCCCCAAGGTTGTGAACTAGTCCTCACCATTCTGCTTGGAGAGACTTTACAAGAAAATTGGGATTTTTAGCTAAGCCATTCCCTCCCCCCATCCACAAGTCTCAGCCTACACCTAGCCAGTGCTACTTGCTCTATAGCTGGGTTGGTTATCCCGGTCTTACACAGGAAGGATTCTGGAGTCTGGCAGAGTGACCTTGGGCAAGTGTCTTCCCCTCTGAGCCTGGTGTGTGCAGGAAGAAGGGGTAGCGACAACAGCGACTGCCTTTGGGGGAAAGTGGAGGAAAAGAGATGCCATCATAGATGTCCAGCCCTTAGCGTAGCCCGGCAGCTGTCACTGAGGAAGCGTTTCATTCTCGTGAGCCATTACCCGTGAGCTTGGCCTCCGGAGAGGGCAGTGGTGGTGCCTGGGCTGTCCCCCGCTTCCCGGTCCTCCCTTGTCTGCTTGCATTCACACCCATCATTCTTTTGAGGACACTGACTGGGAGCCAGGGCAGGGCGGGACACCCTTTGCCCTGGGTTCCAGACCTGAGCAGGAGCCAGGAAGCAGGATGTGCCCAAGTCCCGGGGACAAAAGGTGCCTCTGTGGCTCGCAACTTGGGAGCCAGCCCTGAGGGGTGGGAGAGGGGCGTAGGAGAGAATACTGGGATGCTATTAGATAGTGTAAGTCAGCAAAAGGCACCCCTTCTGCGTGAGGACGACTCCCACTCACCCGCCCCCGCTCGGCAGGTGCCTTCATGTAGATACAACCCGCACAGCCAACTGGCTGCTCTGCAGGGAAGAGGAAATGACCTTGACCTCTTTGGGAAACGACATCTTTTCCTGCTTAGGCTACTGCTTTTGCTCTAGGAGGATCCTTTGAGCAGCTGAGAGACCTGGCTATAGAGAAAGACTGCCTGATTTCAAACCTCAGCCTAGTGACCTTTAGGCACATTGGTTGACCTCCCTGTGCCTCAGTGTCCCAGCTGGGGAGAGCACCCACTTAAGTGGTTGCTGTGAGTTCGTGCGTTTGAAGAGTTGAACATAGTCTGGCCTATAGTAAGAGATGATACATTTGCTGTCGGTCTTGTTCTCTCGGGCTTATTTCAGTTGCTTCCATAGTCCCCTCTCGACACCCCGGTATCTGTTCACACACCCATCCTAGGAGGACATAGCCCTGTTTGGTTCGTTTCACTAACTAGAATTAGCAATGGAATACAACAGGGGTGCCTGGCTGGCTCAGCTGGTAGAGCATCTTGATCTTGGGGTCATGAGTTCAAGCCCTGCATTGGACATAGAGCTTACTTAAAAAAAAACAAAACAAAATGTCACACATAACATTTATAAATAAAGGGAGCCTTTAAACCTCACTGACTGGGGCCATCCACTTCATCTCCGAGCCCTTCCTCTAGAAGGCTTTTCAGTGTCCCTTGGGAGCAGGCAGGGTGGGGCCGATGGCCCATAGCCCCAGTGGCTCTCCCTGCCAACTAGGACCAGCACAAAAGTCCTGGTTTGGTTCTCCAGGTCACAGCCAACACTCCTGGATCTTTGGCCAGGTCCTGGCATCCCCTGAGAAAATGGGCTGTGCCCAGGCCTTGTCCCCTTCCTCTGCGTGCCGTTGGATCCCTTCCAGTGCCTTTTTGAAAGAGGTGGGGAGAAATCCACGAGCTCCCATACCTGGAGGTGTCGTGTCTTCTCATCCCCGTCCCTGAAGGCTGACTGTGACACAACCCCCTCCGTTCACACTGTGGGCCAGTTCCTGCTCTAGTCTACCTCCAACCCTTACCTTCTTCCCTTTCCTGACTCCAATCAAGTTCGCACTCCAGGTTGCTCAGGTCCAAACCTTGGGAGCCATCTTAAGTCTGGATTCTTCCTTCATTCTCATGGCCACCCCCTCCCCCCATCCAATTCCCGACAGTCAGTCCTGTCAGCTCCATTTTTCCAAATCCTCCCGCTGCCGGTCCTCCATGGCTGTCTCCTCCTCCAGACCCCACACTCACCTGGACCATTGTGGTAGCCCCCCTGGCTGGTCTCCCTGCGTTCACTCCACCTACAGTCTGTTCCCCTCCTGTGGCTGCTGGATCCTGTAAACAGCTACACTGAATCCCAGCCCTCCTCCTGCTTAGGGTGCATTTCCAATAAAATTCAAACTCCTCATCGTGGTTTTTTTTTTTTTTTTTTTTATTTCAGAGAGAGAATGAGAGATAGAAAGCATGAGAGGGAAGAGGGTCAGAGGGAGAAGCAGACTCCCCGCTGAGCAGGGAGCCCAATGCGGGACTCGATCCCGGGACTCCAGGATCATGACCTGAGCCGAAGGCAGTTGCTTAACCAACTGAGCCACCCAGGCGCCCCCTCATCGTGGTTTTAAGTCCATCCATTCATTCATCTAAGAGATATTAAGCGGCTCTCTTGTGCCAGACACTGCTTCAGAGACTAGGGAAACGGCGGTGACCAAAGATCCCCTCTCTCACAGCCTGACATTCTTGGGAAAGAGACAGATAAACCACAAGCCAATCATGTAGTATGCTAAATGGTGATCAGTACTCTAGAAAAAATAAAGGAGGGAAGGTGTAGGATGCTATTTTAACTAAGGTGGTCAGGGAAGGTCTCACTGAAGAGGGGATATTTTTGCAGACCTGCAGTGGAGGAAGCCGTTGAAGCTTTGGGGATCCAGTATGTGGGGTAAGTGTTCCAGGCAGTGGTACCAAGGTATCACCCAGTGCAAAGGCCCTGAGGCTGGAAGGTGCCTGGTGCGTTTGAGGAACACTGAGGAGGAAGTCAGCCATGTGGCAGGACCTCAGAGACTGAGAGGGAGAGAGGGAGATGAACTGGGAGGGGAAATGGGGACAGGATGAGGAAGACCTTGGGGGTCTGGCTGAAGCTCCAGCAGTGTCTTGTTTTTGTTTTTATTTTATTTTATTTTTATTTATTTATTGAGAGAGAGAATGGTAGAGAGAGAGCATGAGAGGGAGGAAGGTCAGAGGGAGAAGCAGACTCCCTGCTGAGCAGGGAGCCCGATGCGGGACTCGATCCCAGGACTCCAGGATCATGACCTGAGCCGAAGGCAGTCGCTTAACCAACTGAGCCACCCAGGCACCCTCTTGTTTTTGTTTTTAAAGATTTTATTTATTTGACAGACAGCGAGAGAGGGAACACAAGCAGGGGGAGTGTGAGAGGGAGAAGCAGGCTTCCCGCTGAGCAGGGAGCACGACGCAGGGCTCGCAGGGCTTGATCCCAGGATCCTGGGATCATGACCTGAGCTGAAGGCAGATGCTTAACGACTGAGCCACCCAGGCACCCACGGGAGTGTCTTGTTTCAAAAGCAGGGCTAGGCTGGGCCAGGGCAGGGCAGACTCCTTCTTTAGCCTTTCCTCCTTTCTTTGACTTTGACTCATACTCAGTATTGCACCAAGGAGGGGTTCTGAGCAGAGGAGGGAGAGGCTTAGGTGAGAGATTTGACTCAGGTATTCACAGGCTCCCTTGGGCTTCTTGTGGGAAATTGAGGGGGGTGGAGCAGACAAGTCCCCAAACTCCTTTACCTTCCTGGTCAGCCAGTATTTATTCCAATCTACCTAACTCTTGTGTCCATTTTGTGAATCCTTCAGGTCTGTGTTCAAATGTCCTCCTTTTCTGCAAAGCCTACCCTGACTACTGTTTGGCATTCCAGCTCATGCTTAATTTTTCTCCATAACATTTATCAAACCTTGGACTATACTTCCAAAGATTTTGTTATCTTCCTTCACTAGAAGGTAGTTCCACGAGGGCAGGGATTTCTGTCTATCTTGTTTAGTGCCAATGCGTAAAACATGATCTGGCACACAGTCGGCGTTTAATAAATATTTGCTGAATTTGTGTTGCTAAATGGGAATGTACATTCCAGTCCTGGGCAGGTTAAGGCTTGATGGCGAGACCCCGCCTTATGAATCATTCATGATCTGGCCCCGCCCACACGCAGAGGACGCGCGCGCTCACGCGGGAGAGGGGACGCGGCTCGTACACGAGCTGAAGGGGTGGTACGGGAAATGGACTCTGCGCAAGCGCCGGGTTCCCCGAGGCGGGTCCCAGCGCCTTTCTGGTTAGGAGGCGCGCGCGCGCGGGAGGGCGGCGGCGGCGGCGGCGCGGTGCGCAGGCGCGGAGAGCAGTGCGCAGGCGCTGGGGGAGGGCGGGCTACAGCAGCTGAAGCGGCGGCGGCGGCGGCGGCGGCGGAGGAGCCTCGGGCAGAGGGGCGGGAGCTGCGGCGGGAACGGACGGGCTGGTGGGCTAGCGAGAGGCGGCGGAATGGTGGACTACCACGCGGCGAACCAGTCGTACCAGTACGGCCCTAACAGCGGGGGCAATGGCGCCGGCGGCGGGGGAAGCATGGGCGACTACATGGCCCAGGAGGACGACTGGGACCGGGACCTGCTGCTGGACCCGGCCTGGGAGAAGCAGCAGCGCAAGGTGCGCGGCCCGCGGGCCGGACGGGCTGAAGGGGGGCTTCCGAGGGAGGTTGGCGCCCTGGAAGAGGACTGGAGGTCTCGAGAGGGAATTGGAGGGTCTGTGATGGGAATCGGGGGTCATGAGAAGGAATTGGCGGGACTGGGAAGGGGTTTGTAGTCCTGAGAAGGAATTGTAGAACTTGGCCAAAGAATGGAGAGTCTGAAAAAATAATTGGCGGCCGTGTAGGGAATATGGAAGTCTAAAAAACAAAACAAAACAAAAACCACACAAAAATCAGCGAGCCCGATGAAGGAATTGGAGGGTCTGGGCGGGGAATTGGGGAAAACCGAGATGCATGGAGACTTCTAAAATGGAATTGGGGTCTGAGGCGGAATGGAAAGGTCAGAGGGTGGTTGGAGGTGCGGAGAGAAATGGGGGATTCTGGAATTTGTGGACCAGAATGGAATTGATGGTTGGGGGAGCCTGAAGAGGAGCTCGAAGATGGAGGGGGTTATTTGGGAGTGCAGAACGGTCTGAAGAAGATTGGGGTTGGGGGAGTCCTAAAGCGGATGGAGATTCGGGAAGTCTGAAGATGGAGTAGGGGTATTAGAGGGATGTGGAGTCTGAGGAGTAGTGGGGGGACCTGGGAGACTTGGAAAATGAGAGGGGCAGAGGAAAGAAATGGGTGTGAGACTGGGGCGTGGGAGTGCAAGGATGGGTAGGGGTGCGAATGAAAGAAATTAGGGAGCTGTAAGAAGTGTTGGAAGGAGTGAGATTTATTGGGGGTGCCCTGTTCTAATTGGGAGGCAGGAGGAGTAAAAGGAATTGACGAGGGATGGAGAGGCCGAAGGGGGGGATGCAGAGGGTACCTGGAGTGTTTAGAAGAGGGGATTCTGAAGAACTGATGGAAAGCTGAAAAGCTCAGCCAAGGGTTGGAGGAGCCTAAGGAAAAGGTAGTGTAGAAAAGGTGAGCATGCTGGAGAGAATGGGAGCGGTGGAATGGCGGGTAATGGGAGGGAGATTAGGAAAACGAAAGTCTCATTAGGAAGGCAGCATGTGATGGATAGACTGAGAAAGGAATTTGGGGGAGGGCTTCTAGAGGTACACAGTCTTGGGACTACAGAGTGTGTTTTGAGGCGGGGGGAGAGAGAATAAGGGAGGACGCAGAGTGTCAAGAATTGTGTCTTTTTGGGGGAGGGGGTGTAGGGACCCTTAAAGCAAGGTCTGTTTTCAGATGGCATGTTGGGGCGTGGAAGCTACTTAGGGGGGACCGCGGTAGTGAAAAGGAGATCAAAAGAAGTGGGAGGCCCAGAGAAGATGTTGCGGGGGGTAATTCAAGGTGGTTGAGGAGGGGGAGCTCTCAGCTGATATAAGAGAGGGTTTGAGTGTGTGCAGGAAGAGCTAAAGAAAGGAGTGTGTTGAGTGGGTGTGTGTTTTGAGAGAGGTGGTTTAAAGTGTGTGTGAAGAGAGTGGCAGGTACTTGAAGTTAGAGGCTTTTAATATGTTCCGGAGATCTGAATTTTCTTCTCAGATTTGTTACTCATCAGCTTTGTGGGCCTGGGCAAGACCCTTGCTCTCTTAGTACAATTCTGTCATCTGTGAAATTAGGAAGGGTGGAAGGAGGCGTCCTGTGATGCTACAGAAATGGATGTGTACTGCGTGGGGACTTTGGGGGGGTGGGATTTGGTGGAGCTTTTTCAGGAACATGGGGCAGACTCAAGGGATTTGAGCGATGAGCTGAGGAACGAGAGCGGAGAGTGTGACTGGAAGCCTCTTGAGGGTCTGAATTGGTGCTCAGGGGCCCAGTGCAGGCCACCCAGGGTGGAGGGGAAGGGTGAAAGGAGCAGCTGTTCCTGGGGTGGGGCCTGGCATAACCTTGGGTAAATTCCCAACCTCTGCTTGAATTTCCTCATTGGGCGGTAGGGGGTGGGTGGCGGGTTGGTGATGGTGTTCTCCATTGCTCCACTTGTCTCCGGGTGGCTAGGTTGAGATAATCTGACATAGAAATGCCTTTTGAGGGGAGAGGGAGATCCAGCCTGCTGTCACAGCAATAATTTATTGCCCCAGGCAGTGCCGGGTTGGAAAAGGTTAAGAGTTGCCAAGAGACTTGGAAAGTTGGGAGGGGAACGGGGCCGCAGCGTTGTTCTTTCTGGGATCTGTCTTCTCCAGCTCCAGGTGCTTGGGAAAATGAGCCCCTGACTCTTTTCTCTCAGGTGTGAGAGTGCAGGAACCTTCCCTTTCCCTCCCTTCCTGTCTTCTACCCCTCCCCAGATGACTCCTTTTGCTAGCTCATTTCCACTCCCTTCTGGGAGTTAGGGTGTGTGCTCCTTCGTGGTTATAGCCTCCCTTGCACACAGGGTGAGGCTGGGGCACCATTCAGGTCCTGGGCAGGAACCAGGACTCACGGGAACCCCAAGGCCCTGCTGCTGTGTGTTATTTTCCCTCTTTCCTCCCTCAAGGACCAGGCAAGGTTGAGGGAAAGGGTGGCTCACATTGTGTCCTCTAATACAAACTGCTTTCAATTCTCAATAAGGGTCAGATAATAGTATATCCTGCTTTATACCCTACTGCAGCAAATATTTACACATAGCTGTTCTTTGGGGGAAAATATTGCTTCACTGCTGTGCACTTTCCTATTATGGAATAGGGATCCTTTATGAAATGTGGGAAGGAGTAATGGAAAGGAATATGTACACAAATTTTTACTGTGTTTCCCTGTTTCTTTCCCTTCTAAGAAGAACCCCCTCCCCCCCAACGGTCTGGGTGAGTTTTTCTACATTACAGTGTCAGTTTAGCGACTGACAGGTTGTCCTTCTTGCCTCTCCAAGGCTGAGCCACGGGCACAGGGAGAGTGGCAGTCCTGTGAGTGTCTTGTGCATACTCACATACTCTAAAATAATCTGTGTCCAGGATAGCTGTAGTCCCGTGAAGTGTGTGGAATTGAATTCTTCTGGGAATTAGGCAAGGGTTGGTTCAAGTCAGGGTGTGTGTGGCTTCTGGTGGTTCTCGCTTCTGCCTGAAGCCATTTGCTCTGACTTCTAGGGACCCCAGCAGTTCTGACATGGAAGGCCCTAATTTTCTCCTGGGGGGATGGGGGAAGGACTGGTCCCGTGTTTTGAGCAAATTCTCCAGCAGTTACAGTTCTCGGCCACAGTTCCTTCTCCCAGCTTCTGGAAGGGTTAGCCTGGCTGCCGCCCCCTGCTCTCCTGGACAGGAGAGGTCTCTTGTCACCTCCTCCAGGTGACCTCTGGCATAGCCAGAAGGAACGCCTCCCTCGCTAAGCCTGCGTGTTCACTGAAACGTCACTGCTTACAGGGACTCAGTGTTTAGACCCCTGACCTTTGGCTCAGGCTGTATTAAGGGTGAGTTAATTATTTGAAAGTTCTGAGGGTGTTTTGTTTTTCTCCAAGCAGGTTTGTTGTTTTTTTTTTAAAGGCTGACAATAGAGGCCTCAAAGTAGCCATCTGTTTTGTTCCATTACTCTAATTGCTTCCCTCTTGGGATCTGGCTAAGACTGACAGGTCCGTAGCGGCTTTCAAAATTAAATAACGTACCTATCACAAAAAATTAAATAATAATAAAGATTTTTAAAACCCCATCAAACTTAATATCATCTAGAAATAAGACTGTAAAGATGGGAGGAGGCAACTATACTCTGCCCTCTTGGGAGAGGGGTAGGGGAAGCTACTCAGCTACTAAGCCCTCCCTTCCCTCCCCAGTCCCTGAGAACGGGTCTTAGAACATGGCTTTTCTGATGACTGCCCAAGAGGTGAGGTCTGGGAGGAACTGTGCCCCTGGTCGGCGCTCACAGTCGCTCAGTTGAGAGTTGGTACCATGTCGTGGGAGCAGTGCCTGCTAATCCTAGGCGGTCCAGGGCGGCAACCCGGGATTGCCCTCTGCCTTTTGAAACACCCTCCCGGGTTCCGGCTTCCAAGACCAACAAGGAGGCTCGCTAGGCTACCTTGGCAGCAGGGAGCTGACTCACTCTTGGGTTGGAACTGGTGCTAAATGGTTTTATTTAAAGGCAGCCGATTGCCTGGCCTCGACTGGGCTTCCTTGTGGCGCAAGCTTGGTGAACATGTTGGAGGAAGACAGCGCAGGAAATGGAGGGTGGTGTTTGAGTGTCTGGGCTGTCCCCACGCTGTTGAACCCCTGAGCTGCAGCCAGGAGGTCCGTTAAGATGTAGGATGGCGCTTGCAAAAGGTCTTGTTAAGCAGATTTCAGGGGAGCAGGGACGAGTGTGGATTCTAGTCTGAAGCCTGTGGGTTGGGGAGACTTCTGTCCTTGAAATGTAGACTCCAGTCATGGTGGACTTTGACCAGACAGCCCAGTTTTTCAGAGTTACCTGAGTGACTAGTCCAGGTTATCTGGCAGTGCTGTCTCACAAAGGACAGAAAAGGGAATAGAACCCAGAAAGAATGGATTTGAGAAGGCTCGAGGAATTTCTGATACTATTGAGGGGGGGACACTTTCGGCTTTTGCTGTATTGGTTTACAGCGTGCTGGAAATTCTACAAGCCTTTGACCAGATCTTAGGGTTCTTAAAAGAAAACAAGGATCCCTTGCTGCTTCTGTTTTGGAGGGGAGGGAAGGGGTGAGGAGAAGGGCAAAGATAATTAGCGAACAGCTGTTTGCCCTCGGATCACTTGCTCAGTCAAGTTTTCTGAATAGCCAGAATGTCGACGCGTTTATCTCTTCCCTGGCATGGAATATATTCTAGACCAGGGTCTCCGCCAGCTTTATCTCGGTTTCCTTCACTTAGTCACGTCCCCGGTCTCATCAGTCACATTCAAGTCCCTTCCCTCAGGGTCCTGCCCACTGCCTTTATTTATGTATTTATTTTACAGAATAACAAAACACTCCTGCTCAAGCTCCTCTTCCCCCCTTTTCTTTCTTCATGGAAATAGGAGGCAAGTGGTAGCAAGTTGGTAACTCAACAAGCGGTGGTCACTGAAACACAGACCTACCTACTGAAAGGGGAAAGGGAAAGGTAGATGGAAGTTTCTAGTTGAGCGGATGCAA